ACGTCTAAATTGAAGATGGCCCCGGGATCTCATAAAATAGATCTGATATTGCAGTGCTTCCAATCGCTAGTTCCTCTTTATTACTAATCATGCCATTATATCATATAACACATATACTTATAGTACTTTCATGTTCAAGTTGTACATTTCGATATATTACTTTATACGATATAATTATTTCATAAATGTTAAGGTTCTCAATGTTGACAGCGGTGAAAATGTTTTTATTACTTCTGTACTAAATGAAGAACGGAATATAAATGTTGTAAATGAAAACCTTCAAAACTGTTTAATGTAACAAGTTATTCACTTTATTTTAAATATTGTAAAGTATTTTCATACATAAAGTTTCTCTTTATTAAAATTTAAGGTTAGCAATATTATTTTGACGTCATCACAATTTACGGTACCAATGATTCAATTCAATTAAAAATAACTTAAATTTTTTTTTTAGTTATAAGAGGCTGGCATTCCCACTCTAGATCTACACTTTCTAATGACAGTAGGAAGAATTAAGAAAACAACGAACAGAGTTTTCCATTGAAATTAGTTAGGGGGGGGGGGAGTGGAGAGGGGGGCAAGTGAGGGGGAGTAGAGAAGGGGGTAGAAGCAGCAACTATCCTGCCTTCCTTTTCTCCACCACAACTTGACAAGCGAGTCAACTCAGCAAAGATTAGACCACGGCAATGCTTACTCCACTTTATTTTCTGGCTTCGGTTTCCTTAAGTTTTCATCTATTATTAATTATCTATCTTATATGATTTTTTTTTCTACTTGTAAGACTATTTTTCGCACTGTTAATTTGGTCGCAAAAGTGGATATTGGTCATATCCATATCACTTTTAACATACGATCACTGATCATATCTTTTAGGACAGAAATGCCATTTAGCTAAACCATGCACAAGAAACTATGTAATGATATAAGATGAAAAAGAAGATATTAATCAATCTTCAAACGGACGTGGGCAGTTAAGAATCCTAAATTATTATTTTCTAATAAAAGACTAGAATAAATGTTGTCACTAAAATTGAATAAGTGGATTTGGGAGATTTATGTACGGGCTTACCAATTTAATTTTTTTTTTTTAAACAGGATACGAACGAACATAAACATTGATTACTGATTGGGGTTCCTTCGATCAACCACATGATCATCTAATCGTCGACTTGTGTTCAAATTGATGATAATGGTATAGACGTTTTGAGGAATTAAATTAATTGTAGAGTACGCTATCTTAAATATAAATGTAAAGCCAAATGTTTAACTTTCCCGATTTCCATGAATAAATCATGAAACACATCGAATTCATAAAACATGTTAAATAAATTAAATTTCAAAAATACATTATGCACGGACTAGTACTCATAAACTTATCTGTGACAAAATTATTCGGTATTAAAAAATATATATGTTTTGCATATTTGTTATATTCAATAGGAAACAAAAATTATAATACATATTCGTTGTTTTTTTTTAACCACCCAAATCCCCTGCCTTACCGACAGAAGTTTCACATTTTATTGTATTATCTCAATACCAGTAATTTTTCATCTGAGAAACCGTTGTACGAAATAGAATGGCGCCTCTAAAATCGGGGTTATGGGGTGAAAAATGTTTCGGCCATCCTCGAGTCCTGAGGGAAATGCTGGACAAATAGTCGGCTATGATTGATTCAGAGGAAGCCGAACTGTCCCTCGGGCCTTGAATGAAAAATCTCTTGCAATTAGCTGGGTGCCCATCCTCAGGAAAAAAGGCTCCCACATCCTCCAAAATGTTTCCTTTTCGTTTAGTTCCCTTTGCCGTCATTCGATGGAACATCATTTATCATTAAATGATCTCCATTTGTCAATTACTTTTTGTCATCAAGACTGTGTTGATATTATTTAATTTGGAACATTTTAAAAAAAATTCCTAGATTTAATACCATACGATTTGGAGGCTCATTTTTTTAATTATAAAAGATTGATGTATCACTTTCTGCCCATCTTCGAAGGCCGAAAAATGAAAGGATTTAGGATCTGTAGATTGATCGATCTCATAGTACTGAGTTATTGCGTACTGCTGGTTCAAAGATGAAGTACGCTAAGTAAAATTAGACTACCGGGATGCTCTGGTTCAATATATTGAAAATGCTGAGGGCGTCATTAAAGGAAGATATGAAACAATAATGAAGGCAACTGGCTCAGAATCCCAAAATGTTTAAAAATGAATGGTGGTTTCGAAGTTTTATTAAAATAAGATTTCGATAACCGAAAAGATAATACATGTGTGAAATATTGTTTATTGGTATTTTTTTTTTATTTGTCATAAGCCAATAAAATTTAAACAAATGAATAATTGATAAGAACCCCCGATTACAGGCAGATATAAACAGGAGCTTTCGGCCTGAACCCTTCCTCTCCCTCCCAAAAAAACATAAATATATTTTAAACAAATTTTCGGGCTTAAGCCCCCAAAATTAAATCCTGGATCCGCTAGTGCGCCCAGCTCACTCTCTGTATAGATTCAGTGTTTTCTTGTTTCATATTGTTTATTTTATTTTTATTTTTTACATTATTGAAATCAAATTGATTATTTTTTGTTATTGGACAATAATTTTAATAATGACAAAAATATTTGATATTATTAAAAGCCTTTAAATACAACAAAATTGCCTATTTTACATTATGCATGTTGAATGATCTAATTTTATATGAATACTTCTCTTAAAGAAAATCCATCGGGCTCCTCAAATTAACTTCTTGGCTCTGATTTGTTTTGCTTTTTGCGAGACCGGATCCACGTTATAAAATAGATAAGAATGACAAAAATATGTAGATCCACCATACACATCCTTTAGTAAGGGGCATATTTAATCGATAGATCGGAAAAGGGGGAGATGAGAGAAGGGTGAGGGGAGAGATCTGTCTAATTGTGAGAAGAGCAAAGACTGTGGATCCTTAATCACCCCCCTACTCTAACCCCTCAGTCCGCACAACCCTCGATAATCAATATTAATGCTCAAATAAAGACCACATAGGGTTGGAGGAAGAAGATATGGCAACCATCTTGTATTCAAGATGTGAGGATTCCAAGTTTCTCATTTGCAAAGATTTCCATGGCTAACTTAGGGTCATCCAATGTCATCTGAAATTCTACAGGTTACAGGATAACTTATTGATTTTCGGATTTAATACCACCCTTAATTAGTGTACACAAAATAAAATAAAACATGATTACAAAAAAATTGTTTTATTCTAAATCATCTCCAATAAGATCTGTTCTTTTTTTTTTTTTTTTTATACTAGCCCAGAACCGCGAAATTATTTTGATTATATGGTTAATTTTTTTAAGTGATTAACTAAATATGAAATTTTATAAATCACTCCAACACTTGGGGTGGTATGCATAGTTGTTCCTCTAACTTTAGTTGAACGTTCCGTCAAAAAAGAATATTTTTATGAAACTAAATGAGGAATTACCTTTATCATTCAGCCAACATGATATCAGGGGCTTTTCTATAAAACAATAACGTTATTGTAAATCGAAACAGTCCCATTTACTCCTTTACTTACACGATGCTCAACAAATCTTATAGAAGAAGATAGACCAAACTGGCTGGAATGAGCCCTTTTCATTGAATTTCATTATTTTATTTTATCAAATTATTCCTTTTTGACTAGGTTACTACAACTCTATGAGCTGTGGAAGCTTATTTCACAACTGTAGTGCCATTTATTTATCACAGTTGATAAAAATCATCGTTTCTTGACATTGGTTTCCGCCCATATCGAACAACTTATTAAGTTGCGGTACTAACATGACGCAAAATTTAATATCTTTTAAAACTTTTTTGCTTGAATACAGCGTTACAGGTGATAAATCCAAAAACGTCCTAAAAAAAAAAAAAAAAAATTTTTATCGCCACAAGTTCCCTGAGCTAGCTCGTTTTTAGATTTTTTATATTTCGCATGCTTGTCCACAAAGTTAAACAAGTTTCATTTTATTTAAAATAATATAATTTTGCATCCATACCTTCTACTGCTAGGAGTGCCCCTGCTTCTATGTATTGATCATCTTTTAGAGAATCATAAAAAAGGGCAATGGTATAACATGGAATTTGTTCAACTTAAAAAAATAAATAAATATGTAAGTAAAATTTCTGGATGAATAAAAAACAATTTGATGTATCTATTTCTAAAAACAAATTATAAGAAGTACCTAAATTACTATTACAGGAAATCGGTATTGTTATGCAGATGGATCGGTAATATCGATTTTTTATTTTCAATGGTTCTAACATCGATGTTTTTATCATAATAAGCAATGACCCACGGGTCTTAAGGAGATCTCAATGTGAAAGGTTGTCCAAAAGTTTTCGAGATTCCTGCACTAGTCTATTCCGAACTAGTTATGGTGTATTAGAACTTAGCAAATGATTTGATCTGTCTTAAAAAAACAGAGAATGATATCATTAACTATAATTATGTATGAAGCAAACCTTGCTCTTTTTTTCCCCTCTTTCTCCAGAGTGCCGTTTGGTGTGTAGTAGCCGTGAATCTCCTTTTCCAATGAACGCGGTCCATTACCATTCTTCTCATCTCTGCCATATTGCTTCCTCTGCCTCTTCCAAGTCTCTCCATATATCCATCATAAATAATTCGTTTTTCTTTCGTCACACAGTCTGCAGACATGCCGTTTACATGAGGAGGTGTTAATTGGTATCAGTTGCATATTCAAATCAGTTGAAGCAAATCTATTATTTTATATTATTAAGCTTGATTAAACTGATTTAGATTCAACGTATTTTTTTGTTTTTCATCTTTGCAATAAACATTCATACTAAACGTCAACTTGACTATTTGCCTCTATGATCTTAAATATAATATAATACAACTTAGAAATATGGTGATAATGTATGCATATTGTGGTAAATTTCATGTAAAATAAACATTTTAAGTATTGAATTAACTGATAGGCCTATTCAGCATATAATTTCATGCAATCATGTTTTTCAGATATCCCAACTTCTGGATGATGTTCAGCGGCTCCAAAGCCGAATAGGAAAACTGCAAGAAAATTCAGCTAACCAGATTGCAAGGCTAGAGGAAGAGCTTGAACATAAGCGTCAACATATTTGTAGGCTAGAGGCCCGCCTCGATGCTCAGAAGGACTATAATGAACTTAAGAGGCAATTGAGGTAATAAAAACTAAATTTTTAGGCGTAATTTCTACAAGTAGTTTTATTTTTAATATTTAGTCCAAAACCTTGTATGTACTATTTTAACTGCAGAGCCTCTAGGAAAGTGATAGCATTTCCTTAATAGAAATTTTATTCTTGCTCTAATTAGTTTAATGACTTGTAAAGTACCTATAAATTATTCCTACACAAAAGATAAATTTATTTTATAATTTATTCACATTAAATGCAATAAAATAAAGTATTGAACTAAAATATAACTAAATGGAATAAAATTATAATAATAATGGATTAATTACATTTATTATTTATTCTACTCATCTACTTTTATTAATTCGATAATCCGTATTATTATTATTTACAAAATATTTAAAATTTGTTCTGTACGTATGGTTATTGCTAAATTCATGACACGATGTAAACCAGGCCTTTAACCTTTGCTAAAATGTATTTTATTAGTTTATAACTTTTCTGAACATAAAGCTTGGAGTGGTAAGTTATATGATCATATTTTTGTATGGCCTATTGGCTGCTAGCACATTTGTTTCTTTCAATTAATTGAATTAAATTTAAAGAAATAATCGTATGCATTGTTCAGTTAGAAGTTTCGTTTAAACAAGAATTATTTCTACGAATACATAAAGGGTTTTGGTAACCATCTCCTGAATGGTTTCAAGGCAGGGAATTTATAATTTTGAAATGGCGTAGGGCGTAAAGGAAGCTTTAACGGGCAACAATTACTTGCAGACATTTAATAACAGAGAAATTGGGGAATCCTAGGACGCTATAACTAGAACTCAGTTTGACCACAAGATGACCCCTGTTAAAAGTCGTGAATCGATTGTTATTAAAAATAATATTGAAATGCTCGTTGAATGGTCATGGCGTTTTCCTGAACTCAACATTTTCAAGAATTCCTCTTATCCAGGAAGGTAAATGGCGTACGCCGATTTCGCAACATTAAGTACTACTTCAAAGATTATATCAAAGGATTTGACCAGAAGAATTACCCTTACCCCTACTTCTTACTTTTGACTGCTGATTAAATTGTCAACAAATAAAATCTGTAAACTTAATAAGATTTGTTGTTAATTTCGGCCCTGTAAGAAAATTGCAAGGAACAGTTGATTCTTGGATTTTTTTAATATTTGAAAATTCTTCTGACCTTATTTCCTTGATATATTTTTTAGTATATTTTATAAATAAATATTTTATAAATTTTAACCTGTATTCTTATTTACTCAGTTTTTTTTTTTTTTTTACAATTTTCAGTTGTTTTAGAAATGTTGAAGAAGGAGCCAAAGTAAATGAACATGAATCAAACAAAGTTTCTGAAGTAACAATAAAACCTCCTCCAGTTACTACACCTTCTGAATCACAAGGTAAATCATTTTTTAAAAAAATTCAATTTTGACATAAAATAAAATACTTCTTTACATACTTTCTATCAAAGTAATTTATCAGGATATGAAGGTTATTTGTTATAATTCCATTGTTAGCAGTCAATATTTTCTCTGCCTGACAAAAATAAGACTATATGAAATAAAAAAAATCTGTACTTGAGATTTCATAATGTATCAAAGCTGTCATGAATTATTAAATTTCTCTTGATTGGTTATAGACTTAAATAACTTTTTCTCTGTACATGATTTGTTCTAATTTTTATAGGTGAAGTGCCTACATTACATAATGTTGAAACTTTTGGTTCATTCCTAGGAGAAGAAATTGTAGCCAACTGGCGTAGGTCATTGGAAAGGTCTATAGTTGGTCCTCCTAGCAATTGGGCTAGTCCCCCAGAAGAAGGTATAATTTTACAAACTAAATCCATTTAGGTTGATACGTGATATTTGACTTTGTTATCTATCCTATTTATATACAAACGCATTAATAGATGCATATGTATCTATGTTTTTGTGTTTGTACATGAGTGAACTATCATGATACTATATAAATTTTAAGAATTTATTTTAAATATTTTCGAAATAAAGTTCTGTGTTATTCTAAGATGGCCACTGATAATTACTCCAAGATCACTCCAATCCAACTGCTCTATGCCAAAATTGGCCATGAAGGATTGTGAGTTAGAAATCATGTGTGGATTTTTAAGAGTGAACCAGAGCAATTGGAATTCCTTCAATCCTAAATACCATATAACCACGCAAAAATTCAATCAATTAAATTATACCACAAGTGTGGAAATTAATAAAGTAAAATGATGGACTACACAGAATTTCACAGAGTTTATAAACTGTGATTTATTAATAATTATAATTGTTCACTAAATGCAATATCATCAAAATTTACAATACTGGTTGTATAAAATGTTTTCTGAATAACTTACAATTTTGTTTAATTTTTTACTATGAAGTATGTAAAATATAAATATTGATTAGAAGGAAATAAATATTTTAATGGATTTATAATACACCCTAAGTTTCCACTCTTTTTTTTTTTTAGTTAAAAATTAAATACATTAATTAATCTTAAATAACCATTTTTAGTGGATTTATAATTTATGAAATTCTTAAAAGTTCCCCTATTATTTGGGGAGGGATAAGAATAAAGGTTATTTATTTAATATTTTTAATATTACAGAGGAGCTATTTGTATTTTATTAATTATCTAGAGTTACATTAATCTGTATATTGAAATATTTGTAGACTGTAAATATTATAAAATATATACTTACTAACTTAAATATAGGATGAGAATTATCAAGCAGGCATTGTGGGTACCAAAGTAGTTAATGCCACCCTTTTGCCTGTTAATATAATTTTCATAACATTCAGAGATAGTCACAGTTTTTTTATTAATGTCTGAAATTGTACCATAGTACAAAATAGTTTTGAAAATTATAATGGAGTGATTGTTAATGGTGCCCTTGAAATTGTGTTCACTTCAATTACTTTAGTTGCTTCGTTCCATCATTTAATTGCTTTATGTGGAGTAATCATTAGTGGCAAAAGTAAAATTAACTTAAGGTTTGATAATATTTGCTGGCTCAACTACTAAGCAATTTACAAGCTAGAAGTCTGTATTTATTTAATTAAATATGTACCCGAACAAATTTAGTATGTTCAATTATCGACACTTTAAAGACTTATTTTAATTTTTATTTTGTTTTGTGATTCTTAACAATATTTTCAATTCTTAGAAATATTATCCTTTCTACTTAAGATTTTCTGAATTTCAATTAAGAATTTCTAATCAATCTAAATCTTGCAGGTAAACCAAAGATTGAAGAAACAAGAGAAAGAGATTTAGATAAAACTGGATCACCAAATAGAGAACTTGTCAATGGTTCAGCTAGTCCTATTGGTCAAGAGCAAGAGCATGTGAATTCAGTCCTCCCTAATGGAATGTGCGGTCTAAATATAGGCATAAATAATAATGTTCTAAATTCGGGCCCATCATTAAATTTGAGTGATGTTATGAAAAGTCCATTCAGGTTTGATGATCGTTCACCATTTAGGTTCAACGAAGATCCAAACTGTATGGTTGGACGTTTTGGTGAATCTCTGATACCTAAGGGAGACCCAATGGAAGCAAGATTACAAGAAATGCTTAGGTAAATATTGTCATTTATAATAAATTAATATTGTGATAAATAATTACTAACTTATTTAATCAGTTCCTAATTTATTGTCAAGTAGTGAATGAATAATCCATCGTATGTTTGTGCTTATCCCACATTATAATGTTCTATAAAAAACTAACTTCAATTAATATTATTGTTCTTATTAAATAAATGGAGCAGTGCTATCTTAATTGAAACTACTAACTTCAACGGAACAAAAGTTATTTAAATAATCTAATTAAAAGTAATATATTTCTTAATTTGAAATTCTAAAGTATATAATCTATGAAGCATTTTTTAATTTTCTCAAGTCATAAAAGATACTTACAAAAAATGTGGTTTAAACTTTTTTTTATTAATTATTATTTGGTTTTGAATGTTGCAGGTATAATATGGATAAATATGCCAATCAAAATCTTGATACTCTTCATATTGCAAGGAGAGTGAGGGAGCTTCTTTCTATCCATAATGTTGGGCAAAGACTGTTTGCTAAATATGTTCTTGGTTTATCCCAAGGCACTGTTTCTGAGCTTTTATCCAAACCTAAACCATGGGATAAGTTGACTGAAAAAGGTCGTGACTCTTATCGTAAAATGCATGCTTGGGCTTGTGATGACAACGCTGTCCTGCTTCTGAAATCTCTCATTCCTAAAAAAGGTACATAGTTTTATTTATTTTTTATATCTATTTGTATACCTTATATGTATACCTTATATATATATATATATATATATATATATATATATATATATATATATATATATATATATATGATATTTCTATAAACCTAATAGTTTTATTATATTTCATATTTTTTTTACAGGTAAGGATGGAGCCAGTATGGGAGTAATAGCTAGAGGTTCAGAAAATGACATAACCGAAGAAAGAATTGCACATATTCTCAGTGAGGCAAGCCACATGATGAAGCCACAACAACATGATGAAACCCATAGCAACGAAGACAGTAAATCTCCAAACCATCCACTGGTTGGTATTACAATACAAAAATAATAACCATCTGTCATATTAAATTCATTTATATATCTATATATTAATACTTTCTAATTTGTTATTGTTAATAGAGTTCAGAATCCCCACTTGGTAGAGACAATTCACAAACACGCAGACTAAAGAAATATGAAAATGATGACATTCCTCAAGAACAAGTAGTAAGAATTTATCAAGAAGAGCTTGCAAAAATAATGGGAAGGAGACTTGAAGATCAGAGCTTTCCTGGGTTAGTAAAAAAAAATATTTTTTTTTCATTATTTCTGTGGTGATTGAATTCATATGAAATAGTTTGATTATGAGCAATTTTTTTTAATCCACTACCCATGCCACCATAATTTTTACTACTGTGGAATATTCCTTACCAGTGCCAGCAGCCTTAGGGTGTGGGAACAGGGGTATTGCCCCGGGGCGCCGACCTACAGGGGCTCCCTTTAGGGGGCCAGTCGATCCATAGGAGCACTCGCCACTTTTAAAAATAAAAAAAGTTATGAAACGTATTAAAGTAATTAATTTTAGCCTGCCATCAAAGCAACTGCATTAGAGAAATGATGAATGCAATAAAAATCAAATATCACAAAATAATAAACAATTTAAGAAATAAATTTAATTTTTTTAGGGGAAGAGATGACTTCATTGCCCAGGGGTGCCAAATGTCTAAGATTAGCACTGTTTCATACCCTATAAAATAAGTAAAAACCTACCATTTGAAATATTCAGATGCTTTGTTAAACTTATCGACTAAACAACTTCTAAAGTTTTATTTGGTTTTAGTAATTGTATCATATCAATTTGTTTTGTTTTAATTTGCTGTCACTGGTATCATGGTGTAATAATAATGGGTCATCCCAATTAGTGAACTTATTTGTGGATCATTAAACAAGTAACTGATTCTTTGTTGTTAATTTTTATTCAATGTCCACTATAGATTTTAATTTGTTATATCTATTTAATTGTAAGTTAGCTGGATCTCAAGTTATATACATCAAAAGACAAGGAAAGTTACTCAATATTGAGTGATTATTTCTATCTGTACAATAATATTTTACACATAATCCTGACTGAAAAAAAAAAATCAAATTTCTCTTTTATAATTAAAACAATAAGATGGGTTAAAAATAAATTACGCTAAATACCATAAACCCCGCAAAATGATAAGGACAAACAATAACAATATTTTTTACTTAAAACTTAAAAATATGGTAATGTAAGAAAAAACATCAAAATAAGCGAAAAGGTAAATATTATTAACTCATAAAATAGAAATGATTTTTAAGATCGTTACAGGAAAAGGAGGATTTACGTTACAGGTAGAAGGTTAAATGAGTTAAACAAGCAGCTTCACATTTATTTTAAGTAAAATATTACAATAGCACCATGTTTAAACAAATATTTTTATTTCAAGAAATATCTATTGTGTATTATATCAGTATTATACATTATATTATAGGAAAAAAATATTAATACACATTGGTATATTTCAGTTTGGTTTTTCCTCATTTCTTGAGTGGTGGAAGTGGTGAAGATGTTCGGATCGCAATGGATGCCTACCATCGAGAGCTCGCCAAGCTGAACTCAACCAACACAGGAGGGCTTCCACATCCTCTTGCAGCACTTCATGCTCAGAACCTGTCATCTGTGCATAATGGTATCGCTCAGGATTTATCCTTACCAAAGCAAGTCAAAAGAGAGAAAGCCTCAAATGAAGATGAAAAGAAAGAAGAAGAAAGGCACGGAGGAAGTGCTTTTTCTCTTGTTAGACCAAAAGTTGAGCCTGGTAAATATTTGTTCATTATATCTATATATGAAATATGTTCATTAAAATATTTCATATATATGTAAAAATAAGAATTTTAATCTGAATAAATATTATCATGTATTCAGAAATCAAAATTTTGCAAAGCAGGCTAATATAATTAAAGTTTTTCTAATTTCATTTAATTATTATAAATATTGAGACTCTTTTTCATTTTTAGACTTGCACTTGCCTTTTATACTTTTAGAGAGTGAATTTATGTATAAGACTTAGTTGTAAAAATAAAATTTTAAAAACAGTTGTTTAATGTATGAATACTGAAGATTATGATTTATTGTTTGAAATTCCTCTCTGTTGTTTCTAATTTAAGTAATTAAACATATTTTGGGTTAGTTAACACTATAGTTTGCTTACTTTATGTATTTATCCTCCTTTAATTGATATCCTCTACTTTTTTAAAATATGATTACAAGCTATCCCTCTTCACTTAAATATCAAATGCAACAAAATGTTAAGCCTGTGTATTTATTGAAATACATTGGAACATTAAAAATTTTCATATCATTTCTCCTCTGTGAAATATATTTTTTTATCTTGTTTTTATTATACTTTTTATTTGAACAAGTAATGATCATTTATTTGAGGATTCAAGCAATAATCCATTTTTTTTTGGTAAATTCTATCAGAAAACTTTAACATAACTAAAGTTGTGTTCATAAATATTTAATTTATGTATATATATAAAATTGTTAATGGTAAATGTCTCTTCTGTCTCATATAACCTATATTTATGAAATTATAATATAACTTTGATTTCAGGTTCACCCTTAGGAAATGTAATACTGCCCCCTGAGGATCTAGGCACTGGTTCAGGGACTGCAGCAGTTAGTCCTCTTCAACGAATGGCCTCAATTACTAATGCTTTGATCTCACAACCACCATCTCAGCATCATCATTCCCCCTCACAAAGGCCACTTAAAGCTGTCTTACCACCAATCACTCAGCAGCAATTTGATCAGTTCAATAATTTAAATACAGAAGAAATAGTCAGAAAGGTAAATTTAAATAAAGGATATTATAAAAAATTTATGATTATCAATAAACTTGTATTCTGTTACATCTTTATGTTCTGCAATATTTTGTTCTAAGAAGACTTAATGACATAAAATATCAACTAGTGTAATGAAAATGTATTGTTTTTTTAGGTTAAAGAACAACTTAGTCAATTTTCAATAAGTCAGCGGTTATTTGGAGAATCAGTCCTCGGGTTATCGCAGGGAAGTGTTTCTGACCTTCTTGCTCGACCAAAACCATGGCATATGTTGACACAGAAAGGAAGGGAACCATTCATTCGAATGAAGATGTTTTTAGAAGATGAAAATGCGGTTCATAAACTAGTGGCTTCTCAGTACAAAATAGCCCCTGAAAAACTGATGAGAACAGGAGGATATGGAATAAATCCCAGTAAGAAACTAATATTTTGTCTTTCGTTACCCTTAATACTTATAATTGATTAACTATTAGATTTTTTTTTAGGTGGAGTACCCCATAATAAATCTATGGCAGCAAATTGTGGAAAATTTGTCAATAGTGAAGCCTTTCTTCATAATACCAATATACATATGCAACATACTACATCTGCACCAACACCAGTGCCTCCATTGACTCCTCCAGACATAAAAAAGACTGTAACACCTCAACAGTGTCAAACAGCAATGCAGCAATATCCCACTATGAAAAATATGTCTCATGTATCTCCATCAGTTTATGAAATGGCTGCCTTAACTCAGGACCTGGACACTCAGTCGATTACAACAAAAATTAAGGAAGCTCTGCTGGCCAATAACATTGGACAGAAGGTAAGTTTGAAAAAATGAAATCACTCTTTTTTCATATACTTGAAATAATTGTTTTTATTTTATATTCTTATAATTACACAATCAATACAAAATTTGATTTTCAAATTATTATTGCTAATTAATAATGACAAATATAAGTATAAAAATATACATTATATTTGATGTATTACGATTGTAGCATAATAATTAATGGTAGCATATAACTGGAAGAGGATCTTTGTATTTTAATATTAAATTACAGTTCATGATAATATATTATTAAATTAATTTTTTTTTTGGATAATTTAATCTCTACTTAATATTTTGGATGAATAGGATGAATGAATATTAAATCCGAATAGTATATTCATTAATTGCATAAGATTGAAGTTCATATATATCTGACTCAGGTGATGAAAAGGTCAAATGCTAAACTATTATAACAATCAATTGGCTTTTCTGTAAAACTGGTATTTTTTAAAATTTGATCTTTTTACCATCATAAATAGGTATTTATTATCACAGTCCGATTCAATAAAAACTTGAATGTTTTATGGATTATTTATTAATTGTAACACTCAAAGAATATTATTTAATTAATTATACTTTACTTGTTGTTTTTTATTAGTTTTCTCAAATGTTATATTTTTTCATATTTCTATTAAGTTTACTTCTCCATTATTCTGAAAAAAAAAATAATATAACCTCAAGAGTCTAGAGTTGCCTTTTTGGATTTTTTAGCTTTTTGATTCATGACTTATTTCAGTAGGTTATTTTGGACAGGAACATACTTCTCTAGAACTTTGTGTTTGAAGATATCACTTGGTATTCTATAAAGTTTATTATTATATTAGAGTTTTCTTCTATTTCTTACAAACATTAAGAGGTTATCTACTAAAGTTGGAAAATATGCTACTTGTTGCATAGATAAAACTTAATTATTTTAAATCTTGTTTTTTTCAAGAATTCAATCCAACAAGGAATAAGCTGATGCTACATCCCTTTTTTTATTGTATTCAGGGGAAAGATTCTTCTAAAGTATGGTTGCAGTCTTCATAACATTTTCTCAATTCTGGTTCATGATAACTTTAAAAAGACCCCTAATGAAATTTTCATTTCTTATTACTCTTATAAAATCCTATTTTGTTCCTGTGAAGTCTTACTGGCATATAGAGTATATATGAGCTTTCCAGCCTACCTGAGAGATATTCATTATTACGTAAATAAGTAATGTGCATTTTAATTTAGCTAGGAACATCACTGGAGCTTACTATATAGATTTCAACATCAGATCCCTATCATTATTAACCAACTAGTTTATTTCTCAAGACAAGCTTGAAAAATCACTTATTACCTATTAATCAGTTATCCATTTAAATTACATTACAAAGTGACCATGATGTATTAAATGCAAAATGAAACTTTTGTAGCTCATTTACTGTTCTATTTTGAAAAGAACTTTCAAATGTTTTAAATTGAAATTCATAATCTGTAATATTAATATGTTTATAATGTTTTGATTACATATTTTTTGTTCTGAAATGAGGCCTTTACTGAATATATTATAGTATTCGATAACTTTTTTACAGATCTTTGGTGAGGCTGTTCTTGGATTATCTCAAGGATCAGTGAGTGAACTGCTTTCTAAACCTAAACCCTGGCATATGCTCAGTATTAAAGGGAGGGAACCTTTCATCAGAATGCAATTGTGGTTATCAGATTCCAATAACATCGATAAATTACAGGCAATTAAATCAGAAAGGAGGGAGCTAAACAAGAGGCGGAGAGGATCTGGGCAGCAAGACAACAGTAGTGACACTTCATCAAATGATACTTCTGAATTCTATCACAGTAGTGCTGGAAGCCCTCCTTCTGCTAAAAAGCATCGTGTATTATTTTCAGAAGAACAAAAAGAAGCTTTAAGGATAGCTTTTGCATTAGACCCATACCCAAGTTTAGCTACAATAGAATTTTTGGCTAATGAGTTAAGTCTTGTTTCCAGAACTATTACTAATTGGTTTCACAATCATAGAATGAGGATGAAACAAAATTCACAAGTTGAATCTTTAACAAGGGAAGGTCAAACATCTGGATTTGACCCTGTACAGTTTCGGATATTACTTAGTCAACGATTAGGACTGCCATTACCATTTCCTGCTCCTTTTTTTCAATCAAATAGTGATATCTCAAATATTATGGCAAGAAGTGCATTACCATTAAGAGAGCAGGGTTTGGATCTTTCAATCAAGCATGAATCTGAAGGAGAAGATAATGAAAGTCATGTGGATTCTGAAGATTCATATTCTGGTGTACCTGAAGCACGAGTTCCAGAACCAAGGAGCTCAAGGAGAAAACCAGCTGCCCCTCAATGGGTAAACCCAGATTGGCAGCAAGAACCAGAAGTTATCATTAATGGTGTTTGTGTTATGCAGACTGAGGACTTTGAAAGGGATGGTAGGGAAGAAACAGTTCGAGTGGAGCCCACAGCAGTTCCTGAGGAACAAAGTGCTACTATTGAGCAAACATCTGAAGTACCTTTAGAAGATTCAAAACCTTCTATTTCTGTTAAACAAGAAGTAAAAGATGAAAAATGGGATAATCAGTTCTAAATTAAATATATATAATTATTCTATATCATGGCTTCTTTGTTATTTGCTAGTTTCGTTTAAATTATTATCTAATTTTTTGTTGAAATAATTGAATTAAAAGTTGTTTAAAAGGCCTAAAAAAGAACAATATGTTTGGGAAGAAAACAAATAAATCTAAAAAAGTTTTTCAAAGGCTTTTGAATAGATGCAAAAATTGTAGCAATTTTAAAAGAAGTCATGAATATATTTTTAAACGGGTAAGTTTGTATTTATCATAAATTAATTAAAAGACATTTATTTTGTAAAGTGTCTAAGAAAAATACTTCAAAAAATCCATTATACGGATAAATGTATCTGAAGAATTTCTTGTGTTAGACTGTGTCTTGATCTCAGTGGTTTGTGAACAATTAATGGAGTTCAAGGTATATGATATATGATATGAACTTCTATAAACAATCTATTAAAATAACAAAATTATGGGAATCATGATCTGATTCTCTATTCATATTTATCTAATGAACTATTTGTAGTAAAAAGTGCAATCAACGAATTCTTTAAAATATTTAGTTAAAGCATATAATTAATTAACCTGTAATTAAAATATATTATAGTAGTCTTTCTTGTAAGACAAGGGGCATTTTGTTTTGTTTTAATTTTAATGTAAATATTGTAATGTAGAGAAAGTGTACCAGTTAGGTTGTCGGTAAACAACCAAGTTGTCGATTATAGTATGGTTGTGAAAATTTAAGTTGATGTTATTGAAGTAATCAAAGATGAAATAAGACTGGTTAAACTGTTATTAATAACACAGATCAAATAGTTTCATGAAAGTGATTATAGACATGGGTAATAATAGTTAATTTGTGAGTTATTTGTTTTATTAACTTGAGTCTGTTTTAATTGTGATACAACTAATTACTTAGTAATTTTTTTTAAATGTGATTACATTTATTAAAATTCATCAATGTAATTTATAGACCTTATACTTTTTATAACCATAATGTCCAAGCCAAGACAAACTTTTAAGTGTCTATAAATTAATGAAAATAAAATAAACATATTATTGTGCTTGTGCTAAAAGTTTTATTAAGTGTTACAGATTGTAAAAATATTGTTTTACCCTCATCACTTTCAACTCTTGAGTATGTATGTATCTGTTTGAATGTTGTATGTTTTTTTACAAAAAAAAAATATATATATGTATATGTCTATATATATGTATATATATATATATATATATATATATATATATATATATATAATATATATATATATATATATAAATAAATCAAAGCATATAAAATTTCTTACATACAGAACCACTGGAATGAAAATTCATTTTAAATTCTGAAATTGTGTAAATTTTATATGAGAAATAAATACTTTTAATACTATACATATGAACAAAGTGGAATCATATCACACATATACCTCACAAATGTAATATTATTTGTAGGATATACAGTCATAAAAATTGTATATGGTAATAATATTAAAACTTTAATTATTCATTATAAAAGAATTTTATGGGCATTATTTATTTCCAGTTATTTCAGTCATAAATATATTAGAAGTATTGTAATTTTGTTAATTTTTTATTTCAAACAGTTTATTCATTTTATTGCATGACATCAAATAAATGATTACTTAAAAACTATGTACTATTTTAATAAATGGATTTAAAACTTAAATATGTATCAAAATAGTATTATATAAAAATAAATTTATTTTTTCTGTTAATCGCGTTTATGTACCTCTTTTCTTTAACTCTTCCACATTTTGTTTTAATTATTCAACAACTTTGATAAAAAAAATTTGTGAGTTTCAACCTTAAAAAATTTAAAATGAAACAGTGTAATTAAAACGAAAATGACAGAACTTTATATTTTGTGTAAATATCCCACAGTTATGCAGAAATTAAAGTATATTTGCCTATTTTATCCTGAATAATGATTCTAAATATTAGAATGTAAATTTAAATATCTCAAAAGATTACTTATTATCTTCTAGTCTTCCCATGTACATTAGTACTGAGAGAAAAGTACTTTGGGCAAATTAATAATTATTCTTTCAAATCTTGTCTTCTCTTGTTATATTTAATTATGCATACACATAAAAAAACACTCTCACACATGTTTGCATATACACCCTCTTGCGCACAGAAACATGTGTGTATGTGTGTTTGTGTCTTAGCGAGTTTATATACTTGCATACACAAAATGTGTATGTAGATTATATTTTTTTGTTTTATGTTGTTGATTTTTTTTTTAATTTTGTAAAATAGCAGGCCTATACAGATCTTCCAATCTTTTTAATACTTATAAATTTTAAATGTTTTGTAATTTATTATAAAGAAATGTTGTCAATAAAGTGTTATTCTTTTTAAATGTTGAACATATAATTTATTAATACTAGACAAGAATGTTATTTATGTTTATTTGCCAATTTAAAAGCACGAGGTTTCATTTATTTTTATAAATAGTAGATATCAATTACTTAGGCTTTATAGCCTAAATTTTTATATTAGTAAATTAATTATCTGGACATTTGGCCAGTATTGTACATATATATATATTCTTTTTTTAATGTATGTATTGTTATTAAGACTGTTAATCAGCATATGTGTATAAAGAACTGTTATACTTCCTATGCTGAAAAAGTGCAGGATAGTGTAATAAATTGTGTTTAAAATCATTAAAAATAAAACATTAAGGTTTGTTAAGTTTTCTTCTAAAATCCCTTTAGGTCCAAAGGTCAAGATAATTAATAATGTCCATTAAAATAATGATAATAATAATATATTTTTGGATTCCTAAGGAATTTTAAATAAATGGGTAAAATATATATATATCAACAAAATAAAAAAAAGATGGGAAAAAAGGTACTATAATGTCTTTTTGTTCAATAAAATATATACTTTTTTATCAATTTATGTTTATTTTATTTTTATTATTACTATTTTTTTATTTCCTGTGGTGTTGCCATCTTTTTGTTTGTTACTTTTTTTTTTTTGTTTAGTTTTAACAAACTCCAAAGCTATTTATTACGTAGTTATTGTTCGTTATTTTTAATTGTGTATATGTTAAGCATTTTATTATTGATATAGTTATACACATAGTTGAATACTGCAAGAGCATTCACAAAATATATTTATATATAAATATATTTAAAATTAACTATTGTTCATCACTTAACACTATACTTTGTATTCTATTGCTATAGTGATTTAAAAAAATTGATGTACAGGTTAAGTTTTAGTCATCATTCATCCATTTAGATGTACATATATTTCCAAAGAAAAGTTCAGTAGTTTCTAATATCAATATATATTATGATATTCATTATTATTTTATTTAATCATTATCATTATATTATTATTCTTAATGATGTTTTATTATTACTTGATTATCATATTGCTTCCTCAAGCTACCATCTTGTTTATAAACATTTTTAATCATCACATCAACATTTCTATTATTTATCATCCTTTCAAAATATGTTCATCATATATCAATTTTTTTTTATTGCCAATACCAATAAATCATATTTATATTTAAAGTTTAAAGTACATATATACACATACATACTAATTTATATATATATATATATATATATATATATATATATATATATATATATATATATACGTATTGTATATAATATATATGTATCAATGTATTTATGTGTGAATATCATTTGTATAATAAGTGATTTATATTTGAAATGTTTCCTTAAAGTTTAAGCTATTTTCCGTTTTCATCATGTCAAAATTGTTCTAAAAGTTAAATTATGTTATATAATTCAGAATGTGAATTTGGTTTATGTTTTTAGTCTTAATAGTTCCTTTGTTTATATTAACTGAGGCATTGTTATGTATGTTAATATTCAACTTAACATTTGAATTGAAGCATTTATTAAATTATTTTACCATTTTTCTCTGTTTATTAATTTTATATAGTGTACCATTTTGATGCTTTTCATTCTAAAATTGAATCATATGGGTAATACTCCCAACCATAATTTTATAGTAATCCATTACAGATCAGAAACTTCTGGAAATGTATGCAACCTTATATAAACTAGTACTACATTTCACTGTTTTTGTCCTGGTATTTTTGTATTAATACTTACTTTTATTCAAATTTTATTAAATTACTTTTGTGATATTTATTAATTATATATGTATAAATATAGTTACATGAAGTATATATAAAAGTTTAATAAAGACTGAAAGGCATGGTCAACTGAAGTACATACCTGTAAAAAACTAGATGGGAGTTTCTTCTACAAATAAATTAAAGTTGATGAGCATTTTTTTTTTTTTTTAATTGACAGACTTACTTTATAAACTAACCTCCATTGTTTATTTAAAATATTAATAATTGTTGTAAAAGACTACATTACATTTTAAAACATTATCTAATATTCACCATGATAAGGCTGTTGCCAAAAAGACAGGACAAGACCATACCAAACTATCCTCCTGCCTTCCATAGAAGATTGGGTATTAAATATTTATATTTAATAAGACGATAAATAATAAAACAACTAAAATACATCAGAAAAGTGATTGCTTCATGAGTTCATAACTTTTATCAGCAATTGTGGCCAACAAGCATGTTGAAAAAAAAAATCTTATATACATATCTCCATCATTTCCAATTAAATAATTAAACTTTTTCAACAAACAAAATTTTGTTCTATAAGTGGTATATACATTTTTTTTATTGTTATATTTTCAAGAAGAAACATAAACTCTTTTACACTTCATATCATTTATTTGAAAATCATCTTACATTTCGTACTTATTTTCCTATAATCAAGTCTAGGTAATCTCTTCAATAAACATTACAAAAACTATTTGTTGATGTTTTTTTGTAATTTTTTAACATGTTTGTTGAAAAAGTTATCTTGACTTGACAATAGGAAAATAAGACCGAAAGATTGTTTAAATAAACGAAATGAAGTGAAACAGGTTTTTGTTTCTTCCTGAAATCATAACAATAAGTGTGTATTTAAATCTTATAATAAAATGGCAATTGCAGATAACAAATATTCTAGCGGTTTAGTCTTGACAATTAGTTATTTAATCTTGGCAATACTTCACTGGAAAATAAAAAAGTTGATTATCACAGTGGAAAGATTGGTCCTTCCTGGACCTGTTAATCATTATTGGGATGGAAGGAACCCTGACTGGAAAGGCTTTGGTTGAGAAGATACATGACATGTTGAGACCTCAATTGGACTTTCACTTTTAATAATTACCTTATATGCTCTAGTTTTTAAATCACTAATTCTGGCATGGCAAGAAAGCCTGTGGATTTTATGGAGGCCACAAAGCCAGAGAGAATATCCTAGTGTTGTATAGAACTGCTTTTCATTAAGTGCTTCACAAATAAAAATACATTAGGTGTAAGATACTAATATCCTGTAATGACTACGAGGAGGCATTTGAATTAGTATCCCACAATTAGCCTCTGAAATGTCTGAAGACCTATAAAATGGATATCGCAATCGGTTAAGTTTATCAGAAAATGTTATGAAGCTGTGGGAATCGCCCATAAAGCAATAAAACAGTTCCCTATTAAAATAAACTTTTCATTAGAGGAATTTTTAAAGTGGTTTATTGATCTCATTTTGTTTCTATCTGAAAATCTATTCTTTCAATAAATTATCAAACTCTTCAGGTAAGGGCTACCATTTCAGCACAAAAATAATGGTGTTCTTTATACATGGAAGATATCAACACTTTATTATAATTTATTTTATTAACACTTTATTATTATTTTATTTTATTATCTTTATACATAAAAGATATTAAGTTATATCTCAAGAATGCTGTAAGGGTGGACAGAGAGAGATTAGCGTAGGTGGATAATTTCAAATATCATCATTGCATCTCAATGAAAATGGTAAATCAATGAGGAAATAGCTCAGATAATTGGATCAGCAGGTAGAGGGTTCAGTTGGTTACTGAGTGATTTTCTTGTAAAAGGAAGATAACCAACAAAACCAAAGTTGTTTTCTATAAACTGATGGTTTCCCTATACTTTCATATTCTTCCCAATTGTGGGTGCTCACCTTGAAAAATAAGAGCCAAAACTTATCAATGAGCATGGCCTACCTTCACAAAGTGGAAGGAAGGGACCGATGAGATAGAAACAGAAATCGGCTGACACCATCCTAGAGGAGTGAAAGAACCACACCAAAAGCCACACATGCCTATATGGCAGGAGG